TAGTGCACTCACGGCTAAGATACTGGCCTCCAAACTGGACTTCGAAATCGTATTCGCATGGACTCGTTGCTCCGCACATCAGTTTCGCCCGAGGACCCACGCGAAACCGATGTGGCAAGCCATGAATTCATGCGAATATGATTCCGGGGCAGTTTGGAGGCCAATATTTTATCCATGAGTGCACTATCTAAGCTACCGCTTGGGCAGAATCTAGGTCCAGATTTGCCTGGACCTGCCTCTAAGAAAGTGTGATTTAGTCAAGGAGAAACGTACCGTGTGCAGGCGTACCGTGTGGAGGCAATCGAGCAAGGATCAATGTGCGTGGTACGATATTTGAAACGCATGCTTCTATTATCCGAAGTATTATGTGTGATGTAAGTGTAGACTATGTCAATGCTTTTTCTAATTGAGCACAATAGGCGCGTTTCCAATGGATCACCGATCGTGACCGAAATCAACGAGAGTTGTTTATAGACAGGAATCCAGTGCATTTTGCGAGAGTAAGATCACCTTCACTTCCCAAACGGTCTCATGCTGTCTGTATTTTAGATACTAGATTATCTACAAAGTCGTGAGAATTTTACACCTCCTTGGGACGATTGCGCGCGGGCAGAGCTTCGAAGAGAGGCTGAAGTAGGTCGACAAACATCAAACCTCGTTAACCACTCTTTTCAGTACTTCAATCTGCCTGAACTCATTAAGATGTGCTCAGAAAATAACCTCCAGAAAGGGGACAAAGTTAGATGGAAAGAGAATGTTGTCGAAGCATACTGGAAATTCTTACTAACGTACTGGTATGTATCTTTTGATGTAATCGCGGTAGAGAGCTTTTGCAAAATGCTATGAAAGGGAAAGAAAAAATGCGCATTTTAGCATCGAAATTTCCTCAGGTTTCGATGGAGTGACGAACGCTTACATGCGAAATGCCCCGACTGCAACAACACCAATCTAAGCGACTTTCTTGACTTGAATGGTTCCAAATATTTTCTACGATCATTGCATATAAAGCATCATATGTCGTTGTTTAGAGGGACAATAACTTCTGTAAGTCTTATAAAACATCGTGAGCTTAAGTGCAGTCAATTTTTGGAATCTTGCAGGTGACTGGTGCATTCTGCGGTGTGAACTGGGGACAATGTTCTACTTTCGTTCCGCAATCTGTATTGCGCAAAGTAGAGGAAGTAGAGGAATAACTCGGCTTTGCACAATCTTTCTTCTCGAATCAAGTACAAAAATTTCATGGAAGTAGTACTAAAACTTTTTCTTGTCTTCCATACCACGAACTTTCTTTTACAACGCA